TGTAATCAATATTATATTACAGGCTGATTAAATACCAAGATATTAGAACGGTGAATCTCAAAGTGTAGTTTTGACTTTTCTTTGTTACTCAAAAACAACTGTAGAAATTGTTTAGAGAAATGTTGACAATACTAGAAAACAGCAAAATCAAAATAGCTTCATAGTTACTACTTCTGAACACCAGAATTCAGCAAGGGGAAAGCAGTTGTCATTGGATTGGCACCTGGCAGATGCCGTAGCTGGGCAGAATACTATAACCTTCTGAGCTATTTTGCCTGTTTATCCTGTGCTCTGTGCAAGTAGATAGTAGAATGTGTGGAATAATGTCTACACATAGTTTCTTAGACTAGTATCCAGAGTGCCTATAAAAGGTGGATGTGTCTCAGAAAGCTGGTGGCATCCATGGGAAGCCAAACAGAAAGGTTGAAATCTGTTGTCTTCACAGATGTCAAATAAGGGGTGTGTCTGGGAAACTGTAGATTTGATGCATTTGACAAAAAAATGGAAAAGCACAAGAAAAAACGCCATGAGAAGATGCACAGCTAACCCAGCCGTTATTTGGACCATTAACAGCTGACGTGACCCTCTTGTCACTGGGTTCCTTTTATCCCTTTAGTCTTTCTGCCTTTGATAATAGATACTAGGTTCATGTCCATCTGAACATGAGTGATAAAGGCTGGGACTGGTGTGAGAAGGCAGCAGAGAGAACCTGGCTCTTTGTTCCAACTGTAAAAAAGTTTGGCCACCAAAATACCCAACAGCAGCAAAGCAAAGGTGCACCTAGCTGTTTTTAATTCTGACAATGACACCTTGATATGTGGGGGAGAAAAGTACACAGAATGAGTGTACCTTCTGGGAGCTCACAGCAAACAGGCTTATAGGAATGCTGTGTCAGAGACTAAGCCAGAGAGTTAGACCCCCCCCCTTTCTCCTTCTCTCCCTGCACCGGCTTCCTCACTCTTTTGCATACCAGAGCTCAGTCTCCTTTTCAATGTCTCATTACTAAAGTTTAGGTTTGTTCTTTGGGGGCATTTTTGGTTTTATTTTATTTTATTAAAGGAGGTTTGAGAGTTTGTTTGTTCTAATAAGCTGGAGCTGTAATTGGGAAATGGGTTAAGCCTGCTTCCAATTAAGATAATTGACGTGAAATACCCAATTGCATCTTAAGAGAGAGAGAGAGAGAAATAAGTTCCCCAGCTGAGTTGTAGAAGAGACCAGCTTTGTCTAACAAGGTAGGTAGAAGCAGATGTTTAGAAAAACATGTAAAAGCAATCAGGAGGGGATTTATTCATTTGTTTATTAATTAAGATGCATGCATGAGCAGACAGCAAGCAAAGTTCTGAGTTAAGAAAGGCAAAGTTCCAGCAGGGAGTGCAAAGAAAGCTGTATACAGGTGATTTTTTAAAAATGCAAAGAAAGCTGTATACAGGTGATTTTTTTAAAAAAAATTTTTTTTACTTTTTTTTTTTTTAAATAAAGGAAGACCTACCCCAAAGCTTTTTTGAAGATGCAGGTCAGCATGTTCCCTTGCATACAGTCTTCCTGACTACGTTCCCCTGGTCACAGTAAGTCTCTTCTCTTTCACTTGTATAAAGTAACATATGTGATAAGGTTCTATCAAGACCATGAGTAGCTCCACTGCTGGTGAAAATATACATGGGTTTGTGCCCTCTGTGGCTTGCCAAGGTTAAACAATGACTAGTGAGTTCTGGAGCGATTCTGAAGTTGTGAGTGACTGAGGACTTCTGACAATGCTGATGTTTGCTTTCTAATTTGTGGGGAGTAAGGAAAGTGCAATCAGCTTTTCTGCTGGACAGTCAGAGATGCTTGGGGATCTGACGTGGGGACAGACAGCTACTGAAAACCAATTAGTTTGTGTGGTCAGTTTGGAGAAAAGAAAATTTAGAGTCTGGGTATTGGCTAGGCAGCTGGCTGTACTTAAAACAGGGAAAGATGTTGCCATGGTTTCTGCTGGGATGGGATTGACTTTCTTGCTAGCAGTTGGTGCAGTGTTATGTTTTGGATTTGGGATGAAAATAGCGTTGGTAGCACACTGATGTTTTTGGTTGTTGCTAAGCCATCAAGGCCTTTTCTGCTCCTCACGCTACCCTGCCAGTGAGTAGGCTTGGGGTGCATAAAAGTTTGGGGGGAGACACAGCTGGGACAGCTGACCCCAACTGACCAAAGGGATATGCCAAGCTGTATGATGTCATGCTCAGCATGTAAAGCTGGAGGAGAAAGAAGAGGGAAGGGAGCAGACATTCAGAATGATGGTGTTTGTCTTCTCAAGAACCCATTATGTGTGATGGAGCCCTGCTTTCCTGGAGATGGCTGAACACCTCATGGGAAGCAATGAATGAATTCCTTGTTTTGCTTTGCTTGCGTGCGTGGCTTTGCTTTTCTTACTAAACTGTTTTTATCCCAACCCACGAGTATGTTTTCTCACTTTTACTCTTCTGATTCTCTCCCCCATCCCAACCAGGGGGAGTGAGTTTAAATCTTCCCTCTTTTAGTTTTAAGCCTTTACACTGCCCTGTTGCAATAGGCGCGGCTAAAAAGTCTGTCCCCATCTTTCCTGCAGGCCCCCCTTTAAGTATCGAAGGGCTGCAATAAGGTCTCCCTGGAGCCATCTCTTCTCCAGGCTGAACAACCCCAACTCAGCCTTGTCCTCATGGAAGAAGTGCTCCATCCCCTTCCCTTCCATAGCAACGGTGATGTGCCTGGGTTGGAGGATGGCCAGGGCATTGCTGTTTTCTGTGCTGTTGTACTGGACTGGCTGGAACTCCAGTGCCAGCTCGAGTGGAAACAACTCTGCAGACACTGAGGTCAGTGAAGGAAGGAGGGGGAGGAGGTGCTTTAGGTGCTGGAGCAGAGATTCCCCTGTAGCCAGTGGTGATTCTCCAGGCTGAACAACCCCAACTCAGCCTTGTCCTCATGGAAGAAGTGCTCCATCCCCTTCCCTTCCATAGCAACGGTGATGTGCCTGGGTTGGAGGATGGCCAGGGCATTGCTGTTTTCTGTGCTGTTGTACTGGACTGGCTGGAACTCCAGTGCCAGCTCGAGTGGAAACAACTCTGCAGACACTGAGGTCAGTGAAGGAAGGAGGGGGAGGAGGTGCTTTAGGGGCTGGAGCAGAGATTCCCCTGTAGCCAGTGGTGAAGGCAGGCTGTTCCCCTGCAGCCCATGGAGCTTAGTGCATGCTGAAAGGAAGGGACCCAGGTTGAGGCAGTTAGTGAAGAACTGCAGCCTGTGGGTGGGATCGCACACCAGAGCAGGACAAGAGTGTGAGAAGTCCTCCCCCTGAAGAGGAAGGAGTGGCAGAAATGTGTGATAAACTGACTGCAACCTCTGTTCCCCATCCACCTGTGCTGCTCAGGTCAGGGTGGGAGGTAGAGAAGTCAGGAGTAAAGTTGAACCTGAGATTTGAGCTGCATGTTATGGGAATCACTACAGCAGGAAGCCCTTGTTGCTAGCCAGGCTAGGAGCAAGGGGAGGAGTTCATTGCAATTTTAAACTCTATAACCTGGCCCAAATAGACCAGGCGTGGAGATTGTAATGGATATACCTTTTGTAAGACACGATTTGAGCTGTATATTATAGGAATTGCTATAGCAAGAATCACCTGAATCAATGGAGGACAAACCTTACAAGAAGCAGTGCCAGTGCAAAAGTGACCCAACCTTAGCTGGCTTTGGTGCCTGGTAACGCTGCACAACACCAGACACCATCTCTCCTCCCCTGAAAGACTGTTATGACAGATAGAGGCAAAAGTCATGGATTAAATGAACTCAATGGACATTTTGTGGACAGTTATGGACATTTTACAGATATTTCACAGGGGTGATCCGTGAACTAAAGGAATGATATCTGTGTATTATATCAAAGGATGGGAAGGGGGGTGATGGTTAATGGGGATGTATTGGGTAGTGTGGGACCTGAGCACATTAAATGAACTCAATGGACATTTTGTGGACAGTTATGGACATTTTACAGATATTTCACAGGGGTGATCCGTGAACTAAAGGAATGATATCTGTGTATTATATCAAAGGATGGGAAGGGGGGTGATGGTTAATGGGGATGTATTGGGTAGTGTGGGACCTGAGCACAATGTAAATGGTATGGAATAAGGGGTGGAGAATGTCATGGTTTTGTCTGGGATGAGGTTGACTTTCTTGCTAGCAGGTTGGAGAGTCAAAATTTGGGTTGTGATCATAGGCTAATATCCTCCTTATAGTAAGAGTCACTAAATGATATCTTCTGAAATTGTATCATACTTTTTGGGAGGCCTCACTGATTGCAGACTAGTGATCCTACTGCTCTTACAACATGTTGCAAGCCAGACGATTACAAAAGGCATATGAAAAACTAAGCCAATTTAACAGCGTCTGAAAGTGATTGCAAAGTCTTTTTGAAGGCTTATCTTTATGATAGTTTTGTAAATACAAACCATAGATTGAGAGAAGTAGAAAAAAAAAAAACAAGTTAGAAAAAACGATTTATTAAGTAGTATCATATAAATAACTTGTTACAAAAATCAATTTGCAAAAAGGCAAATTCACTCTGTCTGTGAGAAATTGTTGTTCAAATTGGTTTCTCATTAAATCCTTAAATTTCATTTCCCCCTGCCCCCCACCCCCAAAAGAGAAGCCAGTACAGTGAACAGGAAATATAAGGGACGGAGTGCACACTTGCCATCTGACCACAACAAATTGCCCATGCACGCTGCAGAAGAGATAGTAATTCCAGCACGGCCCCTTTGCAACACAGGGAAGCTTCTAGGTATAAATCTCTTGGGTGACGAAAAACCTTGTCGTCCGCAAACGTTCCTCTGGGCTGAGCAGTGACCACATCCACCGGATGCTGAGGGTCCCTGGCACAACCAGGGGCCGACACCGCGAGAGACTGTGTGGCTGGAGCATGTCAGCAAGGAAATCTTCCCAGGTGGTGGCATCAGTTTTGATTTATGCTTGGAAGGATTTTTAATTAAAAAAAATCAATACAGAAAAACATTTATTTTAAGGGTTTAAAAATCACAAATCGCAATAGGAGTTTGCCAGATTGATTTTGCTCAGTAACACAGTTAAGATGCACATAGCATTTATTATAAGGCCTTTCTTTTAAGTTTAATTTTTCAAAGCAATGAAAGTAATCACAGAATTAAAACAGTACAGTGATTCTGAAGAGATTTTTATGTGTCAAAATCCAGTACAATTTTGTGTTTGCAGTGTCATTTCTGTGTTGTGTTCACCTGAATGCTTAATAATTCTATACATTTGTTTCTTTAATAAACACTAAAGTAACAGTTAGTAGAAAACTAAAAGCTTATAGAAAGTGTCTCCAGGTATATTTACATAATAGTGCAGTCTCATAGGAAAGGTCAAAAGCCCATAGGAGTGGAGAGGATTTCTCTATACGCTGGACTTATGCCTTACTTGTCAAATCGACTTTGTGGAAGGAGAAATTTGAAGTTAGCAGCTCCTTTTTTTTTTCTTCTTTTTTTTTTTTCATGAAGAAAGCAAAAGACACATGCAGGGAAAAAAACATAAGAACAGGTTCTGTAAAAGCTCCTTTGAAATCCAGTGACTCTATGCATAATGTGACAGCTTTGTGGCTTCTAAGTGCCATGGGCCTGCCTTGCATGTGACTGATTACCTCCCCCCTCCCTCCCCATGCAATTCACTTTCTGTTCTTCCTGAAACTCCCAGTTCTCTGACTCTTGTACTCCCTGTTAACCCCAGTCATGGCTTTCAGATACCTACTGTGGAATTTAACAAACTATTCAGGAAAGTGTTTAGTGCATGACAAATGCAGGTCTGGGCTGAAAAGTGTAACATGGTGAAATGATGGGCAGGGTCAAGATTGTCTCAGCTGTGCTTAAACAAAACTACTGAAGGGAGAGACCGGCATTAAAACATTGCGTTGGCTGCTGTTTTTTTTTCCCCTCCTGGACCAATGCATGAGGCTATAGACATTAAATATGTTTTTGTTCCTCTTTTTTCTTAAGTACAGAAACAATCTCTTAGAAAACAAGTCTTTCTGAAGACTAAACTCAAAATAAAAAACATTGTGGCTTTGGAGGAGGCTGCTGTTTCACAGGTCTAGAGGGGTGGAAAAAACCCTGCCCCTCACAACTTACGATATAGTTCATACTTACTGGAAGTAGCTCTCATTTGACAAGGAGTTCAGACTATGGTGTTAATTGAAACACAAATGGCCAGGGCATGGCAGCATCCAGTTGGGACAGAGGTTTTTTGAAACACTTCAATACTACTTATAGCCAAAGGAAACATGCAGAGATTTAAAACGGATGGTGGCAGGACGAGCTAACACAGTGGTATTCTCAGAGAGTTACCTGCTCAGAATCACTGCCCACAATTCACCCTGCAGAAGTCCATTATGATAGATCTGCTGCAGTAATTTAACATGTTTTAATAATAATAATGACAAAGGGACTTTCTTTCCTAGAAATTTGCATGGAAATGACCTGGATTTAATGTAGTTGGTCTGAAAAAGATGATGTCTTTCTTCCTATCCATGCAAATCTCCCTTTGGCTACTGTAGGAAACCTGGAAGTGTTAGAAGTGACTATGCACTGTTGTCCTTGCTCAACATGAGTAAGTCTGATTTTGAAGCACAGCCAGCTTCCAGTGTTCATTATTTCCCTTCTTTTTATTCATACTGCACGTGTGCAGGCACACATTCTCAAAGCCATTTCTCCCTGCTCTACTTTTTTATGACCATTCTGCTTTTTGCAATACTAAAAATTTTCAGTAAATTGTTTTTTGTGGGGTTTTTGTTTGTTTTGGGGCAGAGAAATGGATATGTTGTGCCTTGTAATGTAGCCTGCTACTTCCAAAACTGGATCTCTGGGAGGTTGCCTCTCCCATTCACATTTAACAGCCAGGAAACACCTGTCTATAGAATGAAGTAAGATCTAACAACTAATGAAATTTAAAAAAAAAGTCAGAAAAATATACCTGTTTCTTAGGATAAATTTTTTTAAAAATGGTGTTGGTACAAGTGAAGTGTTCCTCTTCTACTCAGAATTTTTCCCAGATTTTTTTTTTTTAACAAAAAATAACTGAAACACACAGACAACTTGTTTTTCTCATTGTTAGACAGCATGTCTGTCAACATCAGCTTTGGGAACGCATCCCAGTCTTGTGGTACTGTCAGTAGAGCCCCGTGGAACCCCCCGAATTCCTTTTTCAGAGCTTGCTGCAAGTTTCTCCCTCAGCTCTCTTAAAAGCACCTGTCTACACAGAGACATGTCCTGGCACAACTGCAGTTGGAGATACGTGCTGCCGTGGGATGGTATAGTTTTTAACCTGAAATGATCATTATTCTGGAGTAAAAAAATTCCTTTTTCTGGAATAAAGTGGCTGGTTTGGGAGCTGGGATGGAATAGTTGTACTAGAAACCTTATTCCATTTCAAGTGCAGAGATATGACTGTTCTGCAGTAGCAAGCCTGCAAACATCTCCTGTGTAAACATGCCTCTGTATCATGATAACTCCACTGAAGTCCTTGGTATCTTTGAATAGGTCCTCTGCTGTTAGATCAGATGTTTTTCCTAATTAAAAGCCAACTGCGTTGCTCATCTCTCTACCTGGCTTAGCTAAACTTCCTAATAATATTTCTTCTTCTCAAATAGGTGTGGTTGCAAGAAGAGCAGGCTTAAAACAGCCTTCAAACACACTTCGTAGGCCACAGTCTAACACTTGTTTATCTATAAATGGCAATTCTAGCACTGTGTGAAAGCACTGTTAAATACTCATTTCTATCATCTAGCACGCCGGCATGCAACAAGGTACAAAGAAATACTACTGCAAAGTTTTGTATTCACTGCAATATGGCACTTTCAATATTTAATATGCAGTACTGATTTTATAAATTGCACTTTGTGGTACTGCCAAGCAAGAAGAAAAGACAGTATTGAACTCTTCTTGCTGTGTCAGAAATGCTAAATCTGTCTAATTTGCAGGAAAAAAATAGACCTTAAAATATAGATGCATAAATAAAAATTTGGATGCGAGTTCGCCTAGAATTTCCTTAGAAGAATCCATTTGCTATTCAGGCACCATATTTGTGGTGACATAACATAATTTTATATATAAAATATTTACACAACAGGCATGAGTAGCCACTCTCTATTATTTACTGTGTCACTCAATGGACAAGATAAAACCAGCTTTCAATTCAAATTAAAAAAACGAAAAAAAAAAGTTGAGCTTGGACTGCTACTAACAATCACTAAATCAGACAAAATCACTTTACAAATATAGGAAAGTAGTTACAAGATCAGTGATCCTCCTGTCTTGTTATTTCACCCCAAGTAGTGACTCATGCAAGCTGACCTGCAGGGTGGCCCAGCCCGTTCAGGGTGCAAGGTCTGTCTTCAGTCAAGTGATGGTGTGAGCAGGGCCAAGTAGGTGTGTGGTTTCACAGCCACCTCTGCCATCCCCTCCACACGCAAATCTCTCTCCTCAGGGCCCGAGGAGGGGAAGGGATGGCTTTGGGTGTCCGACTGGACTCTTGAGCTTGAGGTGATTTGCTTGAGGCAACCCCCATGCAACAAGGGGTGAGACACAGGAGTGTGTCAGGGAGCTCTTTGGAAGAGCCCCCCGAGGGGTACGCTGCCTCCACCGACTGTATGAAAGCAGCTGAAGTGAGGGACCTGTGGCAGGTGGTGCTGAGCATCTGCTGCTCCTCCATGTATCTGAAATCCAGATGGTCCCTCCTGTGAGCCAGGTTTCAGACAGGTTGCTTCTTGTATGCTCTGATTTCAAGGAAGCCACGAAGGGCTAGACTTTCCAAGGCTTTTATTATCTTAAATTACTGACAGGAGGGCCTAGTTGTGCCATTGCCATTGTGACAGGTGTGAAAGGCTCAGCCCCAGTGGAGCTGGGCACCTCGCTCTGCTGAACTGAAGCACCCTGAGTGAGAGCTCAGTGACACTGGGGGCTCAGGACCCTTTGAAACTTTGGGCTCCTCCACTCTGAAAACCCATCTAACCTATCGTGCTGGGCACCTGCAAGCCATTAGATGCCTTCCCCTAACTTCCACATGTGCAGTGGTCCCCACCACGAGGGAGTCCTTCCCAGTCTCAGCTGGAACCGCAGCACGGCTCAGAAAACCTGAAATTTATGTCATCATGCTTGTAAAAATCGAATACTCGGGAATCTTACTGCTCTCTTTATTTAACTCTCTAGGAGTAATGAATTCCAGGGATTAATTTTTAATCCCTTTTAATTTTCTGTTTATTAACTTTTTTCCCTTCTCTCTTTATTTTTAGAGTAAATTGGAGCTGTTGTTCAATTTTCAAACTGATTCACAGACGATTCAGGGAAAGGGGAAAATAGATCCATGCCTATAATTCTGGTATTAAATATTGTTTCAAAATTAAATAAATGAGATTAGTTATGTATGAGGTATGTTAAATTTTTTTTTTTTTTTTTTTTTTTTTATGAAAAGGAATTCCTTCTTCCTTGACACAGTGCCATGGGCTGTGTGACTTTGGCACACAGGGTAGCTTTTAGGTGATACGTCCCATGGCAGCCCCTTAATTTTTTCTCCAGATAGCCTCTCCTAATGGCTGGATTTGAAGAGCAGCAATTGTATGCGTTTGACAAACCAACAGAAATGCTGAGTGGTGCACAAGCTATAAAGAAAATTGTTTTGGCCTGAGACTACGGCATCTTCCCCCACCCCGCCCCTGGACAAAAATTAGCTTGGCAAAGCAGATGGACACACAGAGAGAGACTTGTGATTAAAATTTTAACTTTTGTTGAAGTTTTTAACCACCTCGGCTGAGTAGTTTATTTTAAAAAATGAGTTATCGTTATAAACCCCACTTTTCAGGCCACTGGAATGACAATTGATTCTTGCTAACTTGTGCATTCAGGCCTTGAACCTGAAAAGAAAAAGAAAACAACCACCAAAAGCATGAGAAATTGCTTCCTCTGGCAGAATGCCAGTACTTTCCATCTCTAAAGCATTTTCCGAATGACTTATATAATTCTTGCAACATCCTGATGAGGTAGGCATTATTTCCCCACTTTACAGATAGCAGAACTGGGCAGAGAGTCAGTCAGGAAGCCACTCTGGGCATCCAGGCAGGGAAGGTCAGGAGAAGAAAAGCACTCTCTCCTCCTTTGCAGTTGCTCCTTTTGCCCCAAGGGGTGGCAGACACCCTGAGGCTACGACTCCACTCCTGCACATGAGAACAGGCAGGAGGAGGTGGATATGAAAAGCCTGACTCCCACCCACCTCTCCAGCTCAGTGGCCACCACTGAACTGAAGTGCAGGTGGAGGCTGACCAAAGAAGTACACAGCGCAGTTATGATCTGCTCCTTCCTCCACATCATGATCTAATCTGGAGTTGGATTAGATGACTTTCCCCATATCAAAAGGCAAGTCTGGGTTAGAACTGGGAAACCACCAAAGAACTGGATACTGGGTCTAGTGACCACGCACACATGCACGCACGCACATCTCTCCAGCAATGCTAGGTCAGAATATATACATAGCAGTCAATGAACTATATATATGTGTGTGTTAGTATGATTCAGTGCATTGGGGGCAATGGCAAGTTCTAGAAAAACACTTAGATTTCAATTACCATTAGGCCTTTCTACCCTCCTCATGAGTAAAATGCATGTTTCATGTTTTTTCTCAGCTTACTCTACTTGTATAATAAACCTTCATTCCATCACCACTACTTTTGACTATAATACATAGGGTAAACTAGGGTACCTCATTACATTGGGATGTGCAATACACAATCAACAGAGCAGCCATCTGAGCTGAATAGTCTGAATACAAGTAAAAAGAGCAAGTGAGCTTAAACAGTAATATACTCCAATTTACAATATAAGCAGAACAAGTAAAAATATTGCTCCCCATCTGATCCTTTTTTTCCCCTCCACTACTGCCATGCCTGTAAGATTGGCTTGGTAAACTGGATGCACTAAAAAATAAGAATTTTGCCTCTTGGAAGCTCATAAAATGATACTAGAAAAAGTTTTCTGACAGCTGATCCACACAGACTGCAGTCATTAGACAATTTGAACGGGTAGACCAGAGAACCCCTTCGCACAGTTGTGGAGAAGGAAAGAAAATAGCCACTTCACATATCTCAATGCTGTTTCTGAAAATGAGGAAGGGGAAAAAAGAAAAGAAAAGAAAGAAAAAAAGAAAAAGGCAACATATTAAGAGTCTTTGTCACTGTCCATTGCGCCATACATATCTGCCAGCTTTTTAAACCGCGGCCCCCAGTCACTGAGGTAATCGTAGTCCTGATCTCCGTCCGTAGTCACCGACTCCAAGGAGCTGAGGGACTCGGCCACAGAACCATTACCTTCATACGCGTAGGTCGCTAACGAGTCATACGGGGGTGCCGTTGGATCTGTATCATTTTCCTTTAACCTTTGGTTAATGAAATCTCTGACATCCGTGTTATCTCGCGCTGTTGCAGTCCGCCGTGGCATAAAAAGTGTTTCGGGCACAATGTCTCTGCGCAATTTATTATCGTCTATGGCTTCGGGATTCCTCAGTGTGCCGATATCAAATGCCTGGGTGTCTTCCTCTCCACCGCCTTCATCATTATAACTGACAATGTTGTCTCTGATGTCTTCTTTGGAAATAATCAAAGGCTCTTTTTTCCGCTGCCGCCTCAGCGCTGCAAACAGCACCACTGTAACTGGAAACAAAAATAGCAGGGGAAGAGAAAGGGAAAGGTTAATCCCTAACTCTATTAAAACCCAGAAGAAGTGCTGCGCCTCTGCTCGGATTCGAAGTTTTAAAAGATGTTTTGCCAAACTGCAAATGCACACGTCAGGTTCTCAGACTGTGCCTGTGAGTGAGTACCTTGGGAGATGAAATGGCGTGGATATGCGCTAGAAGAAAGGAGACGTCAAGCTTGTAAGAAGCCAAGTGGAGTATCGTTTTGTCTGTAGGCACATTTTTACCCAGAGTCATACAGCAATTTTGTTGCCTTGAGAATAGAACTAGTTTCATGAGAGTTGGGAAGGGAGAAACACTTCCTCAAAAATAAGTAACATCAGGTGTTAGTTATTTGAACCCCAGGGATGAGATGCAACTTGTGCTATGGACACGGCTAGTGTGTACTGGGCTATGATAATAAGTTGGCAAAACTGCATTTCAAGGGAAGTAAATCTATCCTCCTCTGGAAAAAAAGCTTGGAATATGGAGTTCATTTTCAACCAGCATAAAGTCCAAGTTTTATTAACTTCTCTGGCATGTTTTTACAGTGTACATCACCTTAAAAAAGTACATGGCTTAAATCAGCTTAGGCTGATGAGATATGGTAATAGTTTTATTTAATCTGCCAAAGGCATGACATTTCTCAAACAGATGATTTTATGCCTTTCATTCTAAAGTGTGTGTGATATATATATATGAATATATATAATTTATTTAGGGAACAGGAACCCTTTCCAAGGCCCTGATCCAAATTTAAATATTTTTACTCAATAGTGATCAGTGGTACTGTTGGAGAAGTCGGTACAGAGGGTGGGAGGAGGTATTTCAGGAAGAAATTTTCCACTATGAGAGTGATGAGACACTGGAACAGGTTGCCTAGAGGAGCTGTGGATGCCCCATCCCTGGAAGTGTTCAAGATCAGGTTGGATGGGGCTCTGAGCAACCTGCTCTAGTGGGAGGTGTCCCTGCCCATGGCAGGGGGTGGGACTAGATGATCTTTAAGGTCCCTTCCAACCCAAACCATTCTATGATTCCATAGTTCTATGTTCAATGTGTTATTTCCTTTAGAAGCTAATTTCAGATATCTTAGCTGGATTCTACCTTAAGATGGTAAATGACAGAATATTTACAAATGAACAGCAGCAAGGAGCTGAGATGTATACTATTATCACTGTTGCTTTCATAGTCTGAGGTCCACAGTGCCCAGTATTTCAGCTCCGCTGTGCAGACTCTGGGAAAAGATGCATCTTGCTGTCTTTATAGTTCTTTCATAGCAAAGCAAAGCAAATCGGTAAACGCCTAAACCCATTGATAAGAGATGATAAGGTGGTTCAAAATTATCTTTCGTGTCAGCTGTATTTATAAAGTGGTGTGGGAGTCAAAGCACAGTAACTGTTAAAGATTTTGGTTTTTTGGCAGTCCCTTCCTCATTTGTTAAGCCCCTGTTGAGGGCTATGCCAAGGACTAAGGACATCTCCAAAATAAAATTTTAGCCCATTGGAACTCGTCTTTCTTAGCTTTCTTCGACAAAAAAAACCCAACTGTTTTGTTTTGTTTTGTTTTGTTTTTTAAATTATAGGCTGCTTTGCAGTACAATCCTACCCAAGCATGTTGTGGAAGATTCTCATACTCTTCCTCTGCCTTGGTGATAGAGGGATCCCAAAAACACAGAATAACATAGAAAAATGCTCTAATTCCTGCTGTGTCTTTACCATAGAAATAGTGTGAGTATGGGAGAACATTTGTTAATATGAGTTGAAAGGAAACAGGTGAGGGGGTGAAACTGAAGGAATTATGAGGGCTGGTTAAAATGGTAAAAGCTTCAGGCTCTTTCCCTAATGATGAGGATTTACTTACAGTGTCCTGTAAGGGTCCTAATCTAAGTGATGCTTCTTTGTGCTGCTGTGCAAAAATACATTAAGAGAGAATTCTCTTCCTTAAGAGTATAAAGCTGTGACACTATGTGGGAGGACTGGAGACAGGTCTATGTGACATAATAGAGATAGCTAGAGAAAATTTTGGAGAACTTGAAAAACACAGCATCAATTTTGAAGGCGCTTCCATAATAGTGACTGGTAGAATGATCTGAGAAAGTGAAGGAATGATAGTTTTTGCATGGAAGTGTTGCTGAAGTATCTCATTAACAAAAAAGGTGTTACACAGAATATGAAGGATAAGACTTTGATAGTCATGTCACATCTCTGATACTTAAATTTTCTTATTTTGTGCTGAAATTGCAGGCAAAAAACCCCAACACATTAGAAGTTATATGTTAAAGTACATCATCTTTATTTGCATGCCAGTGTTTAGCAGTATCTGAGGCCTCCTGATAAGACACTAGACTTACTCAAACTGCAAATAAACCCAGCAATTTACAGGCACTTTTTGTGGCCTCTAAATTTCAAGTTGCGGTTCAGGTCTGCCCAGAGTATTGTTTTTCACTCAGTAGTGGTTGCACATGCAAACCCTGCAACCAGCCCGAAAATAGAAAATTATATAGCTGAGTTAATTGAAAATCTGCTTATGGTGCATGGTGGCGTGAGCAGTAATTGACATAAAGTGCTGCTTAGCACAGAGAATCAATTATTTTCGATTGACATAAAACAGGAAATCGTTTAATGTCAGATTGATATTAATGAGCACAGTTGTACTAACGAATGCAAGACTATCTGCAGCATTAGGTTTCTTTTTCTGGTAAGGAACTTGACACAAAGTGAGCTCAGCCCTCAGAGGCAATGATACCATGCTTTGAAAAATGAATTTAATGGCGAATTAAGGGTAAGATTGTTATTGTGGTAATCTTTTCTGAAAATGGGATAGTGCTTATTTGGGCAAGCCATGACTATATTGTTAAAGTCTGAGAATCACAACATGGTCTTTGACTCATCACTGGAGAGGGTAATTTTGTTAATAGTAAAGATCAGGATGATTCTGCAGTGGTGATGAGCATGCCCAAGGAAGATAAGAGTATAGTAGAAAGAACTGGAACCATAGAATTGTCTAGGTTGAAAGGGACATTTCAGATCATCGAGTCCAACCATCAACGTAACACTAACAAAAACCATCACTAAACCTTGTCACTAAGCACCACAGCTACCCATCTTTTAAATATGTCGAGGGATGGCAAGGATCACTGAGAAAATTTTTTCTCCCTTGATTGACCCTACTGTTATAAAATTGGTCTGACTCCCTTCTTTCCTGGCCAGATACAAAAGGCGACTAATAACATCTCTCTGAGAAATGCCTGTGTCATATTGTACAGATCTCCCCAGATGAATAGGCTATGGCTAATGGCCAAGGGACAAATCTTCTCTGCTGTACAAGAAGGGTGGAAGCTGAGTGAGAGGAATGTGAGACACTATTTTTATAAAAAAATAAATGTTGACCACCTATAAGTGCTGTAGCCAGATCTGTACATCTTTCACGCTCAGGATTCAGCCTCTTCATATTTACAGGTGTCTGAAAGGGAGGACCCTGCTACTTTTGAGAGAGCGCTTTAGTAGCCACCCCATTTCAGCTTCCTTTTCCAGAAGAACAGAAGCACTGAGACTTGTTTCTCCTCGGTTTAGATACAGGAAGTTAATTGCTTAAAACTAATCTAAGTTATCTGGCCTCCTTCTATGGTCAACAGAAAGAGACAGACACCTGCAGAGGATGATTAGTCTGGTCCACCTCAGATACCAATAAGGGGATGGGATGAATGGAATGTCTCTCTACAGGTATCTGTCTCTTTCCGTTGACCAGAGAGTGAAGCCCAGCTGTCTCCTCTTGCTTCCTTGCTTGCTACCTTTTAGGTAACTAATATTAGATAGGATGTCTTCTATACACCATATCGCAGCAGCCCTCAGAGAAGGAAATATAATAATACAACAGTAGGACAAGACAAGGATGTCTTTCCTTTGCTCTTGACCTGGCCTTGGTATAATCACTCATAGCAATGCAAAATAACCATGAATGGAACAAAATGACTCTGAGCTACTTACCTAGTAATATAATAATACAGAGAAGAATGGCAATAAGAGCCCCAGTGCTAAGACCAGTAGGATGAACCAAGGCTTCTGCATTACAGGACAGCATCTTTCCTCGATGGTCACAAGCACATACTCGAATAGTCACTGTTTCAGTGCTGCTCTGGATAGGGTAGTCATTGTCTGATATTACCACTGGCAAGAAGTAGGTACTCATTTCATGCCGGTTATATCTGGTTTTTCGGGTGAAAATCCCTGCTGTGTTGTCTGGAAACACAAAGCACGCATTAAATCTTCATCTGAAGACCAAAAGCAAAGATGAGATAAGAAAGAAAATTCTTCCTAGAAATTCACCTCTGTTGTCCTGTAGTGTAAAGTTTGAGCTGCTGGCTGCCTCAGGAGCTAAGGAGAATGAAAACTGATGTCCGCTGTAAGAATCATCTTTATCAACAGCACTTAATGTTTGTATCAGCTGAAACAATAAGAACAAAATTATCTTCAAAGTCAGTGGACTTTACACTTATTTATGTACTCTAGGACTGTAAAGCAATCATTGTATTCAGTTTTTTTCTTCTGTTTTAAGGCAGCTGATGCTGCTATGGCAAACTTAAGAAAAGTGATCCATGTGTTGCTGCTTATGTTTAGGATCACCATGCTATTGTATCCCATTCCATCAGCCAGTAACATAACAAATTTGAAAGCTGGCAGGAAAATCATGTTGAATTCAAGAACAGACTTGGGTTGATGCCACTCAAGACAGATAGGAAACCTTTGCATGTGACAAGCAATAGACCTGAAAGGTGACCCTATATTTATCTACCCAAATCTCAGGTCACAGGAATTGTTTGGAAGAATCTTCCAAATTATCTGCTACTTTGAACCATTTAGTAATAGGATTGGTAGAGCGAGAGTTAATTAGCAGGAAATAGCTATGTCACAGACAGAACCTGTAACAGTTAGAGACCTGAAACTGTTTTTGAAAGAGACAGTGGAGGCGCCTGAATAAAGCAAAGAATCACAGAATGAAAAAGAATCAGGGATAGCAAGGTGCAGTACAGAACATAACAGTGTAAAACAGACTGTCACATTAGCTGAAAGAACGCTAAGTGTAATCAAATACTGTGCAGCCACTGTTTAGTTTAATTTTGCAAAACCGACAGCTTGATGCGATGCAAAGTATACCTCTTGATGAGGTGATGCAAGAGTAGTAGCAAAACTCAATTAATTTGGAATATTGTCTTAGTACAAGCAGGCAACACACCTGTTCTGCCTTTGCATTTTCACAGACGAAGGTCTCGTAAAACATGGCAAACTCTGGAGCATTGTCATTTACATCCAAAACCTTAATGAACACTGGGACACGGCTGCTTTGTTTTGGGTTGTCTGAAATGATAAAACCAGAAAGAATAGAGATTTTTATTTAGCCCAAATTCTGACTCAGTGTGTGAGAAGAAAAGGACATACTTAGGGGCTCATTGCCTTCATTTTTCTTGTTTACAACACTCCACTTACATTCTGCTGATTGCTGGGGAATGCGTTATGGGGCAAATTCTACAAAATCATGCTGAATTATCATTACTTTGATTCTGTGTAAGCTATGAAGTTAAGATTGGGTAGGAGTTCAGAATTTAAAAATTCCTTTAAATGTTCCAAGTACAATTATGAATGTATGTGTGATATATATATATATAAACATAATTCTGGAATTCAGTGAAACCTCTTTATTAACCTGACTGATATAGATTGGTGGCAACAAAGTTTCTAGGACATATTCCCTTCCTTAACTCTGAAACAGGAAGACTGAAGATAGAATTGAGTTAGTTTTTTCCCTCTCCACCTGTTATATGTAATATTCTGTCCTCTACAAATCCTGTGACACAGTTTCTTAAGCTACCACAGGTACCATTATTTCATACAAATAGTAAGTGCATCTGTGATCAAGGATATTTTTTAATCTGTTGTGAATTTATTTGGATGAAATTTTAGAGTTAACATTAAAATGTATCAGTTGAAGAACATAAGCACTATACAGGATCTGCGGATCCCCATATGTAAACATTTTTTTTCCCTATAAGGGAAAAAACAGTCCCTATAAGGACTGTATAGTGCCAAGAGACTGAATTTGGCAAGGGTATTCCTGAGCATAAGATACTGAAGATTTCTAGATAAAAATAAAAACATGGAAATGCACCACACTGTATAGACCATTCCTTTTCCTGTTGGACTATTCGTCCTGTTGGACCTTTCCTTGGGAAGAGACAGACTTTAGTCATGAAGATACACAAAATAAGAAAGAAAGGCAACAGGCAGCAACCTTGCCTAGGAGCCATGAATGGTGAAATAGGCAAGATTCTGAAGCAAAAAGTCACATCATAACAACCATTGACTCCTAAAATGTACAAGACCTGCCCCCAAACCAATTTGTCATCTCCAGTTCAAAGGAAACCAAGAGCCATGCCCAGGACTTGATCTGTGTCCTTTGTGCTCCGTACTACCCAATAAGGCACCCAGGCCAGGTCACCCAGATGCACCCATCTCAGCACCTGGGAATGTGTGGGTGTTAGAACATGAGAGAGTGAAATCTATGAGGGAATGAGTGTGATTGAAATTAGTTTAATGTAAAATAAATAACTTCCCCCTTCTTTTCATGAGGGCTCACACTGAGTTTTGCTGTGTTTTCTTTTTTTTTTTCCTGCCTGTTTTAGTATAGTTTATTAATGCATTTTAACCTATGATTCAAGTGAAAAAAAATAGTGCAATAAAACATAACACGTCTAAGACTCTGTATGCTTCTACAAGCATTCATTATAGTAGCTTGTTGAGTTAGGATTTAATAAAAGTCCTATTACTGTGTTTATCATACTTTTATAAATTTGAAAATGCCTTCTCCAAAATTGGCACTGTATATTTTTATTACAGAGCTCAGTCATTTGGACAAAATATTGTGCTTTAAAGCTCCACAGTCCCATTGAAGTTAATATGATTCCATTAGGCATAAACCACTTTCTAATACGAACCATTGGGCTAAATTCATTCAATGTATAAAATAACAATTTATGTATAATATAGACTAGGCTGTATTCTATGCTAAAATACATCAATACAAATGTTGAACTTTTATAATAGGCAGAAATAAAAAGTACTCATTTGAAGTTGCAGGACTATTGGCAAGACTATTTTATAAGGGCATACCTTTCTAACAAATGCATTCAAATATATTGGCAAACGTGTTTCTTTTCCTCCCAAGGATTACAATTGTTTTCTTGACTGCTTTTTGAAACATGAACTACATATTTTCGTTTTACTCCTAAGTGCTTAAGATCCTCACAATTTAAAATGATACTGTAATGAATAGAAGCTTCATAAAAACTCTATGCTCTATGGACATGGGCTTTTTTTTTCTGATTTACTGGAAATGTTAAGTTGAAATATGTGTATGCATCTTGGAGTCTTTTTTTGTCATCTTTCAAGATTTTTGCAAATTAATTGGTGTAGGCTAATTTGTTTCTATTATCCTTTAATTATTGTTGGACTCCATCTCCAAGCTCCACAGACTCAACAAACTGCTTGAATCATTCATCTCTACAGTGGTACGTTTTCTGTTGATCCAGCAACCAAACCGTTAAAGGTTTTTTTCCTGAATGCAGCCTCAAAGTCCTGCCAATGTTTGATTTACCCTTAAGTGTTAAGTAAATAATATTTAAAAATACTTTGGGAATTCTATCCAGTAAATCAGCTGTAATTCTGCAGCTGTGAATCAGTATCCCTGTGTACTGACTTTTATCGCTGGTTTGCCTTCTGACTACGGCAGATGTACTGACCCCGTGCTTCACCAACTATTTGTTTTAAACATTCACATCATGATTCTCCAGGCTGCTGAGCAACTGCAGCTCATACTGGTGAAAAAGAAGAACATTCAAAAATGGAGCTACCTAAATTTACTGATGATTTTAGACAATTAAAGGAAAAATAACTTCTGTATCTCCTTTTTTTTTCTACTGTAAAACGAAATCAAGAGCAGTCATCACTGAAAAGTTGTTTCTCTTTATGACTTTATAATTTTTTTCATTTTTTTTTTATATCACAGGGAGAACCCATCCATCTGAACACATGTCCCTGTAACTTGACTGGATATTTCTTTTAGATTACTTCAGTGAAGCATACTTGGAGTTTGATGTAATGGTATGTCACTAGAGAAATCAGCTGTTAGCTGGAATTTAGTGGAATGGGACTTTAGCTAGCCTTACTAGAAATTACTGGTTTTAGCTAGGAGCATTAAGCAGTGGTGCTTTCCAGTCTAGTATCTTGAGACTGAAATTAGTGAGGTAGCCTGAATGAGACCAAAGCTTCTTTCAACAGTAGCCACATTTCAGCCAAGAAAATTGCCTTTGGAAGGCGTCTACCCCAGTTATGCCAAATTTGGTCTAAGCTCAGTGAAGCACAGCCTGGGAAGTAGCTTGTTGCAGCCTGGAAGGATTCAAACTAAAGAGGATTGGTAATTAAGACAGAAGCCTGTGTCAGACACAAAAGGTTTAGCTGAGAACGTTTGGCCCAGTAGAAGGTCCGTCCTTAGGGGAGGAGGCAAAGAATTAAATGAGCATTTCATATAGATGCTAAGTTGGTTTTCAGATAGTATACCATTTTCTATACTGTGTATTATTTCATGTCTGCTGGGATCAATACAACTGTGCCTCCTAAATGTTATTGCTATTCTTTCTTTTCCAAGTGTTTATTTTCCCCCTCCTTCTCTGCCCAGGAGGTCAGTCTGTAGCGCACAATTCTTAACCCTAGACCACTCCTTCAAAACTTAACAGAGACACAGACACGTAACTAACGGGCAGCTAGAAGTCAGTTTGGTATGCTGAAATGACATACCTAGCATTAAAAGGTGAAAGCTTTCAAGAGAGAAAGAAAACTATTAAGAAACGTCATTCCTGTAAGCTCTAGCCCACTATTTTTTTAACATAACCCCATTTTCTTGCCTCAATAGGATTGTTTCACATCAGTTTTCACTTTTAAAATGACTTACAGAATAAAGAAATCTGGAGTCAAGTACTCCTTAGTTATACTCTTCTCACTGTTCAGCAGCTGCTTGGGTCATAAACACAGATACACAACATAAGAAAGTAGAGCTTATGTTGTCTTGGATTATATTTTAAAATAAAAATCCATTTAGCCTCCGAGTTGCGCTAAGACTTTCTGATGGTCATAGAAGTGGTGTTTGTATTAGACCTGTCTACCATCCCACCATGCTTCACAATCATAGTCACTGTGACTCTGTAAAAGTGAAAAGAATTGCATTCCCTAACACTTAACCACGTCCCATGCTTTCAGTTAATCTTTTAACTAAAATTGTCTGTTAAGGCCACCTAGCATACACATCCTTATCCAGGTCCCTGGCATTTCAGCTCCTAAAATGATCACAACTGGTATTATCACAAGTTTACATCTTCTGGGCAATCCAAAAGTAAGTGGCAGACTGACTTGTTACTATGGCTTGTAATTTCAAAGGACGCTAAAGAGGCTAAAAATGAAAAATCTTAAAACTGCTTAAGATCTGGGCACCTAGTTCAGCCCAGCCACCTTACTCTTGCTTGAAAACATCAAACTATATTCAGTCTGGATCAGACTGAATTCAGCCATGGAATACAGTTTGGTTTTAAAATGTCTTTCCTCCTGCATACCAATTTCAGAATTCAACAATCATGTTTGAAATAAAAAATGGCTGTTACTGATTAGAAAATGCAGAATTGTTACCTTTCCTCCCTGTTCAGCTAAATTACCTCTTCATGAACTCTGTCCTTAGTAAACATAAAGCTGCAGACTACCTCTTGGAGAGTTTCCGCTGCTTCATTAGTATTGAATGGACTATCCATATAACCTGACATCTGTCCAGCCGTGCTTTCCACGTGCTTGGCTAGAAGGCTAAATTCATTACATCAGGGACAGCTGTGGTATTTAGGTTTGACTTACTGATCTCTGCTGCTATTACTGTAATGTTGTGCCATAGCAGTGTTTCCCGGTCAAGGGGTTTTGAAGTAAATATCGAACCATTTCCCGAGTTGATGTTGAATACTCTGTCCATATCAGTGTGTCGATCTACAGAGTACCTGCAAATACAGAGACAGGGGTTAGGAGAATGCTTTCCTTTTAATTTCTGTGTTCTTAAACCATTTTCTAAGACTAGACATCAAACAGCTAGTAAATGGGTTGCCTTTTGTTTTCAGTGCAGGCTTCTGTCTTTGCACAAAGAGCTAGTTCTGAGCTACTGGATAATGACACATTGGAGGTTTGATTTAGAAGGCGGAGCATTGTCACTGAATAAATGAATTACTTCAGAATTTACATACCTCTGAGAATCATCAAAGCTTTGTTTTTAGTGAGAAATGTGAAGTCTGTGTCCTGAAAGATATGAAGTTTATTTTAAGACTGAGTTGGCTTTCCCATTATAAAACCCTCTTTTTATGGTTTGATATTTCAACTGTTCCAAATAATTTCTGATATAAAATTTGACAGCTGGGGTGCATTTCTGCCTTTCACTTCCCAGTGTTTGAAAAGATTGCCCCCCAAAACTGAGTCAGAATGGAACAGAGATTCATTATTCCAAGACACATATCACATAAAGGTTTGCTGTAATTAATTAAAGCTAATATACTTGGTCATGCTTGATGGTATCTAGATACGAAAATGAATGTTAAGAAGCTCTGGAGGAGCTCAGACCTAAACATGGATTTAAATTTTCAACCTGATATTTTGCTTTTCCTGCTGAGCTGAATCCCACTTTAAAAACAGCACTCTCCAGTTCACGGGAGAGGGTGCTACCGCCCCGATTCAAATGCGGTGACTTGTTTTCATCTCTCATGAAGAGAGAATTCTTGCATAAATTACAGAGCTTTTGACAGAAATTTATCTCTGATGTTGCTAAAGCAAGAGTGTGATTGCATTATTCTGTGCTTGTTTGAAGCCCAAATGTGTGCTGAGGTACCACCCAGGACGGAGCCTTAGGAAGCCCAGTGTGCTCCCTTGGTCTCTTTGCAGGCCCCTTTGACGGAGACAAGGCAGCTACTGCTGTCCCTTGGGTCCAGCCAAGGATAAAGCTATGGCTGAGCTGGTATGCAGGTGGATGAAAACTGGGCCAGGAGAATGGCTGGTGGAGTTTCCTGCTGCTACTGAACTGAGGGGAATGCAGAGGCTGAAGAAAAATGTCCATTCCCTGCTCTGCCCTAGGAGCAGCTGCGGGACATGTCCCTCATTCTGCACGGATTTTCCAGTGCCTGTGCAGCGACTCTTAACTTCTGATAAAGATCTGGCATGGAAGAAGGAGGGAACAGCAGAGTCCCGTTGAAACATGTGATTCTGACAAAGGTTTAAAATGAACTAATTTGCTAATTATCTTTCAACTGTTTGTTTTTAATTATTATTTTCAGTTAAAATAATGGGATATAATATCCACAGCAAATTGGACTGCTCTTATTCTAAACTGAGAATTTCAGTGTAGTCTAGCCTCCTAAACAAAACTATAGCAAGTATTCATTATTTGCACTAAATCATTTTCCTTTTTCCACATTAAATTCCAATGGAAATACCCAAATGAGGATCAAAGGTACTCGCACAAAACAGAGTAGGACTTGCTAGGACTGGCACAGGCACACCTAGTTAGTTTTTTGGGAGTTTTTATTCATTGCTGTCACTTGACACTACCACAACTTCAGCTGCATGGAGTCAGCGGTGGTGTCACTAACCTAGTTCCTTTATGCAGCGTTTGTAACGTCCCCATCAGCTTGAAAAGAGCCTGTGAGAAGGTTTGTATCACACGGCCCCGACTGACGGGGCAGCTCCAGCAAGCTGTGCTGTTTTGTCCAAAGCTAAATATTACATGTGAATTTGTTGACTTAGCTGAAATGTTTGATGCAAACAAGTTTATACAATCTGGTCTGACTCTTATATTTTGACAAAGTAAGTATCTGATACGGTAAACATTTCATTTTAACTTTCATTCATTCAGGCTTTTATATGATATTATGTTGGTATTTTACGAATTCAATTATTTTTCAGATATTCTGTAGCTCATTTCCATATCTCTCAGCTGAAATACTTTGGTATTTCCATTTTCAGTAAATCTGTATTTTGCATTCCTATTTGAAATGAAATATCAGGATTTTCCATAGATTAGCTGCTCCAACCATCTGTAACAGTATGTTTCTTATTCAGTATGCTCTTATTCAGCAAGATATTTAACTCAGCAACTAGCTTGAGGAATGAGTTGTCCGTTTGTTGGTTTTTTTTTTTCTTCAATTAAGCTTTCACTCATGCTTCATATTATGAATGGACTTACAAGATCTTACTGCCTTAGCATATTTTAATGCCTTGGCATATTGTAATCACTATCTTTACTTTGTAAGATTTCCCAAATTCAATCTGTGGTACCGTATCTTTAAGAAATGGAAAAAAAAATATTTTCTGGACTTTTTCTAAGGTTATCAGAGCTGTAACATTGAGGACTTCCTCTTCACGATATTAAGAATTTTAAAATATAGGTTCTTGTAAAACTGTATGTATATTCAGTGTACATGTACAGTGGAAAGTTAAACACACAAAAACCCCCAAACCAAACAACCCAACAAACAACCAGGGAACAGCTTCTTAATGATATGTTAATTTTATTTCTTCATATTGAAAAGAAAATACATACAAGGTCAATGCAGTTAAAGTATATTCTAATTATACCATTAACCCTGGTCTAGAAGCATGATTTTAATAAGCTAGACTGTCACTTCTGTTTCTCAGTTTGTACAATCCATTCTCTTTTGATCACAGACTGTTAATTATGTTGAATTGGTGGTGAGTCTGACTTACAGATCATAACCTAGTAAGAATTAAGCAGATAACATCAAACTCATTTTTACATTTATTTAATGAAATTACTGGTGTGTATTTGTCAGATTTCAGGACTTCGTCCTTTTCAAACCTTGAGGAATTGGCAAGATAGAAGCTAAAAGGTATCTCTGTAGATTCCAGCCTCTCCTTGTACATAACAGGAAGAAAGGGAGGGTGAAAGAGAGAATCTAACACATGCAAATGTGTTGTCAGTAAAATACACAAACAAAATTAAGCCTTACATTTGTTTGCAGATCATTTTCATCTGGGATACTTTAGTAAATCAAATCACAGCAGGGAAACAGTTCCAGTGACTGATGAACTTCATTATGCCTCTGAGGAGTTACTATAGCAAAAAAACTCAACTAGCAATTTAAAACGATCTGATGTACAATACAGCAGTGCCAGCTGAAGCATTATTTTTTTCACTATGCAGCAGTTCATAATATTTCTGTTTAGACCAACACAAGCAGAATGTAAAACTTTTTTTTAAAACACAGCTGGACAGTGGAGTGTTATCGAGGAGTGTATTAATGTCGCTACGTGTGGATGTATATTCAAATGTAGCCAAATATGTATTGGTGTATTTTTGTATTTACTTATTATCATGCCACAGAAAAGCTTATTTATAAGGGCTGGATGTATGAAATACAGCTCTACCAACGGTCAGGTCATGAACGATTATGCACTCTTACAGCCAGGGCAGATATCGGCTTCCTATTTTGCTATTGCTTCATTGTCTTCTGGTGTTCAGCAGCTTGCTGTCTAATGTAACCGCAAGGCAGGAAGATTTGTGGGTCAGGAAGGGATGTGTGCGTGAATTTTTCATAATGCATTTTCATAATGATATTGTGAAGGTTTCCTTTAATGGAAGATCAAAGGGGCTTTCATCTAACAGGGTTAGGGCTCAGTTTGTTTAAAAAGAGAAATCTTCACTCGAGTAGAGGAGAAAATGGAAGGTTTTCATTGTAATATCAAGTGTCTAAAGATTTTATTTTTAACTGTCAAGAAAAATTGACAAGCAAGTGACAAGTCATATATATACAGTCTAATTGCATCTTCCCCGAAGCTCAGAGTGAAAATCGGATTTAGCATCTCTATTGCATGATTGAAAAAAAAAAAAAAATCACTCTGTCAAAAAGATGCAGACTCAACCCATGCCCCTAAATTCTAGGAGATACCCAAGATATTAGCACCATAAAATTACATTATTGGAAGTTAACATCTCTCAGGCTACTGCTCTCTGCTGATTTCCTTCCCTTCTTAACTGATTTTCATGTTTCTTCTTGCTGTGTTTATTTCTATTACTTTAACCTCTTCATCATTTTTCTTTTTCTTCTCCTTTCACCTTGACTGTTGCATGCTATTAGAGTATAAAGGAGACAAGTTTTCCATTGCACTGCATCAGTTTTTACACCTTTGCTTAATTTTGCTCAATAATTATCAGATACTTTAATATGCAAAATACCTATACCGTATTAAAGAACTGCCCTTTGAAAGACAGGTAAGTTTTAGCACACACATTCAATTAATAGAAAAGAGCCAGTAGGCAGTACTCAACAATGAACAGCATAATCCCTATCCACTGTAAATCACCTATAATTAGGAGCTGGTGCTGGTGTGAAATGCAAATGGTTGTAGTTATCACCACAGGGAAGCAGGGAAGCAGTCCCCTCACTCTCCAGTGCCATTAGATATGAAAAAACAGGTCCTTATGAAGACTGGAAGGGGCGTGGGTGTCATCCCAACCAATTTTTTCTCTTCACGCTAGCATGCCCATGAAGACATGCTATAGAGGTGTTAATTCTGTTCTATAAGTTACTATGCTTGGCTAGTTCAGAACTCCATATAATTATGGCATGTCATGATATAAATAAAAGAAAACCTTAATTGAAATTACAAGGTTTAGTCTTGAACAAGAATTCACGTGCAGGGTATTGCGTGTAAACTGAAGACCGAGAGGGCTGCTGCCAGAAACTTTTTAGATTCAGTTTCTTCATCTAGGAAATTAAGATGATAATATTTACCCCTCTCACGAAATGAGATGAGAGCTTAAAACTTACTCATGCCTCATAAACTTCGTAAGATATCTTGATGAAAGATAGTTGTTTGCAGAAGTGCAAAGAATTGATGGATTGGATTTTTATTAAACCTGCATTGTTCTATTTTGATCTTAAGGCTACTATTGCATTTCCAAGGTGCCCAACCCAGAGACATGCTGAAAATTGACCAGGATTTAATATTGCTGTATTTTTCATTTCCTCCTCTTACTGCCTTGGCAGTAGCAATGAATTTTAATTAAAGCACACAACTATTTAAAAGTTCTTCTATACTCCGCACTTCAGTATGTTTTCAAATGTACTGAAACAATGAACCTGTTAATTTACAACAAATGAAAGCTTTGGTTTAGATACGCTAACCTTAACATTTCCTCCACTTCCTCTAAGACTACTTTATTGATTCATGGCAAATGTAAATTATGAAGTCCATGAGACTGATTCTTATCTTACTAGCCTTACACTGATACAAGTGACATCAGAGTCCATGGGTGTGCACATGAGCTGCTTTTAAGGCTTTTTCACTTGCAGTTTAGAGAAGGTAAACGTGACCTCTTTTAAGCAAGTCTGGACAGATGGGAGAAGAAAGGGCTGCTGAATCACCCCCCTGTAATATAGCCAAGAGGATGCACTGTGTTGCATTGGAAAATGTTAAAGGTGGAAGGAGAGCGCTAACATCTTATTAGTGCTCTTTTTGCACTAAATTCTTCCAGGGTAGAGACAGCCACAAACATCAGTTACAGAAGAGGATAGGATATAATACAAGATGCAAGGGCCATGCACAACACAATCACACATATCTAAACATGCTTAAGTGTGACATATCATTTACCATCTACAAGACTCCATATTTAAGCATACCTGAACAATTTCATTGCTTAAAGTGATTTTTTTTTTTTTGTGCTGACATGAAAAAAACAAAATTAAAGCTGTAAAACATTTATGCACAAGCTGAAATAGTCTATGCTTACTTGACAGGGTTCTTGGCGGCATCTGGATCCTGAGCAGTTACTGTTCCTATTACACTGTTTATTGGAACATCTTCTTTCACTTCCATTATGTATGCTGGTCTGCTGAACACAGGGGGTTCATCTACATCTTCCACTTGAATTCTGACTGTGGCTGAGTCTTTGAATGGCCCCAAGTAGAGGAATCGAGGGTCCACGTGAGTATTGGTAGCTTCCACTTTCAGAATATACAGGCTTTTAGTTTCAAAATCCAATGCCTGGGAAAAGGAAAAAAGAAAAAAAAAAAGTGTGAGAGGTCTGTGGGGATTGATGAGCCCAATGGACAGTAGGATGTCATGGAGAGGCCCGTGCTAGACAACAGAGACTGAACTGGAATTGAAATGCCAGCAGAAAGCAAAAAGACAGGGCTCTATGCTACTGATGATATGGTATCTAAAAAATCCCACCACTTTTTGGGGGAATTCTATGCCTGGAACTCCTAAACATCAATTAGTCTTTCCTTCTCAATTAGTCTTAACTTTTCATGCCTTTTATTCTGTCATTTTTGACATTTTGATGCTTTTCTGTCTATTCCTTGCCCATAAGCACCACATATTAAAGGGGGGGAGCAGACTTTCTAGGAGTTGCTTGTTTGAAAATTGGCATTCCATCACTGAAATGAAACACTGTGACATCTGGTGTCTGGACATCCAGGACCACCCATCAAGGAAAACATGATTTTATGATAGCCTATGACTATATCACACTCTGTCACAAGTGTGAAGAAGCAGCATTTAGCGACTCTTTGTTACAGTTCTTAGAGGAATGTGGGGAGAGAGTAGCCACCCCATTTTTCCATTATGTTGTAGAAGGTTCACAGCTTCTGTTTGAAACAGACAGAAATGCAAACAGAGTTAGACTGATATCATAATCAGCCCCTGGAAGGCATCTCCTAAGAAACAAGTAATGACAGGTGTCGTACTGATATCAACAAGCAAGTGCATGTTCGGAAAATCTACCCAATGTCTATCTAGTGATGACTGAACTTGAACTGATGGAGGATGATATCTGTAACCTTATCAAGCTTGCCTGATAAGCCACTGTAAACAATATTTCTCAAACCTTTTCTGACAGCCAATGTGCAACGTAGTAGATGATGTCCATTGTGATCCAGCAAGGTGGCTGTGATTTTTTTCTAAAACAAAAGCATGCTGATGGATTTGTTAGTTACGTTTTTACAAAATGTGAGTTAAAAGAAATTTGTCTATGTGCCTTAATACATTATAGCTATACAATTCAACACCTTCTGATAGTGCAAAACAGCCAATACTGATTAGTTCTGTGGTCTTACCATAGTGCCTTCTAGTAAGTAAGCAAATTCTGTAAGTATCATGGGGAGAAAATCACAATTGGATGGTAGTATCTCCTTGAGTTATTGTATGGATATGTTCAGACTGTAGAGTTTTATCTCAGTGATTCCTATCCCACTCCCTAGGTTATTTACTCTCTGAAGTCCTTCAAAATACATGCATTGTTTAGTAAATGAGGGTATAAGAGGAAGGACCACAATTGCTTGTACAGAAGAAACTTTATATACCTATTAGAGATTCCTAATAGATAGCATTCAAACAAATAATCAGCACACGTTGCACCAAAAATATGTGTTAGATAAAGTTTTGACTGGTATTTCAGAGGCTGGGATTAAGTGTGTTAGGATGCATACCTTTTTGACAGTTATAATTCCTTCCTGTGTGTCCTTGTCTGTGGTAATTCCAAACATGTCATATCCATCCCCCTCAGTGATGCTGTATTCAATCTCTGCATTTTCATCCACGTCAGCATCGTTAGCTTTTATCCTGCCAACCGGTGAGTCAGGTGGTGTAGACTCAGGAGCTCTGAACTGGTATGTGCCTGCACCAGAGAGAGGAGGAAATTTTGTCAGTCGATCTCATGGTACCTGGGACACGGTCTCTCAGCACACTGTCCAGGCTGGGCATGCACAGATGAGCTGGCGAGTCGCTGTGTCCTCAGGCCTCCCTGGGGCAACAGCCTTCAGCTTTTGCCTTACTTTCATGTGGATAAAAGTATCTTATTTTTCTATATATTTTCTAGAATGAAGGATAGGCATTTTGTTTTCCTACATACATGTATCTTTAGCAACATATGTCCCTTTCTAGACATTATCAGGGTCTCAGCTGGCCATATCAAAATTGTATATGAAAAATGTCTTGAGGTCAAAAGACAAATATTAAGAATTGCCAGAGGCCAACGCAGCTTAGTAATACTAAAACCAAATCCAGCCAAATGCCTATTCATAATGTGTTACATTGAATTCTCTTCTGAAAAAAAAACTACTTGGGGAATGTTGGCATTATGAAGCTGTATCTTTGGCTTTTATATTGAAGACACTTATGTCCAGAGATGTATAATTAACTCATTGGAGGCAAAGCGCTATATTTTCTCTTAAGTTGCTCTAATTTAAATGGAAACGCTTTGCCCAGGGCTAAGAACAGACTTTGAACTTAAATGACAAGTTGCTTCCAATAACTTTCCCAATGACTTAACCGCCAAAGCTCACTGATTTGTCTGATAGTATCTGCAATTATTTTCTCTAACAGCTGCTCTTGACTTTGACACACACTGACACTGTGATACACACACATCACACACACAGCAAGAGTTAGACAAAGCAAAGAAGAAGAAAAAGAGAAAGAAAGAAAGAAAAAGAAAGAAAGAAAAAGAAAGAAAGAAAAAGAAAGAAAGAAAAAGAAAGAAAGAAAAAGAAAGAAAAAAAAAAGAAAGAAAGAAAGAAAAAGAAAGAGGGAAATAGAAGTGGATGAAAACTGAATCACTTTGAATTACTTATGGCCATGAGTGGTCATTAATAGAAATTACTTTCTAAGAGATCTGGCTCAAGTGATACCCCTAAATATCACACAGATATCTGCCAAATGATCTTAGAGAGGGGAAGGAAAATAGGCAGAAATATCTGATATATTTATGTATGTGCTTTTGTTTCTGTATGCAAAGAATATAGGAAAATCCATTGAGGCAAATGCTTCCTGGGTGTAAGTATTCATTTTAATAGAATTGCTCTTGGGATCATTTTACTTACTTAAATAAGTATGTTTCAAAAATTAAGTATGTTAGATTAGAACACATATCTTAAAATGCAGTCAATGACAAGGTCTAATAGAAATAATATTGATCAAGAAATATAGATTATATCAAAGCTATTTAATTGGCACAAAAAATAATGTTTCTGTACATTAAATCACTTAGACTTTATACTGCAACTGGAGTAAAAATATTAAGGATATATTTCCCAATTATTGCAATTAACCTTAGCATGATCCTATTGCTTTCTTGTGTCTTGTCTTGTTCTTTCTTAAAGGAAGTCTGTTACTCAGTAAGTTCATGAGAGCAGAAACAATATCTGAAGTGAAAAAGAAAGGATAAATTTTGTCCATTTTACTTTAAAAACGTAGAAAGTAAATACTCCATACTCTGGGGGAAGCGAGGTGGATTGTCGTTTACGTCAGTCAGTGTGATGTTCACAGTAGTGGTTCCTGATAATCCGCCCATCTGTCCTCCCATGTCCTTAGCCTGGATGACCACTTGGTATTGCTCCCTGTTTTCACGGTCCATGTTTAGCAAAGCAGTTTTAATAATGCCTGAAAATATGAAAATTAAAGAGGGGGAATTCACAAGTAAGATACTGACTTTGATGGAAATTCTTATTAAAAAACCCAACAGCCTAAAGAACAAAACAATCTCTGTGTAATAAGCAAACTTCACCCAGTACAAATATTTACTGTTATGAGATGGCACATTAAATTACAGACTTGTCATATCATATCTCAGGCTGCTGCCTATGTGACAGACACAATATTAGTGGTATCCCCAGAAAGATGTTCTACCTATTTGTGAACAGTGTTATTTTACACAACTATTTACCCCCTTTTGGTTCCATGTTAAACTCTCTCACTGAACCGGAAAAAGTTTTCCAACTTTTCTCTGCTGTTCTGTCAATAGTTTTATTTTGACAGATGTGCTAAAAAAAAAAAAAAAAGCTAAGTTCAGCAAGACGTCATTAAAGAGGCTGAACAACAACTTTAAATAGGAGAAGAGAAATTAGTTAAGAAAATTGTGAGCATCCAAGCACGCACAAGTATATATATTTCAACTTATGCATTGATAAAAATGATTTTGCCAGTCATTTCCTTCTTCAAAGGCACAAATATCAGTTATGAGGCCATCTCCTATTAAAATTCAATCATTCAGATTTACCATGAAGCGTTCTCACTGGGTCTCTTTAGGCTAAGAACTGACTCCTTTGTAGGCAAAAGGGGAGAAATTCAAGCACTGAAATCCATGGCAAAATTCACAGCAGCTTCAACAGATGCTTTTTTTACTCTAGGAGTTTTGCAATTGATTTCCATGGCAGGAAGATCAAGCCTGTAGTTTACCTTACTTCCCCTCTGTGCCCCATACAATCCTCTTCTTAAAAGATTATGACTAGTGAACTCCCAGCTACTTTATCCTTATTATAACTCGAGATAGAATGCCACATAGTGTACTGTCCAAGTCAGAATGAGTGCATCAGTGCAAAAATCCTTGCTTGTAGTATCTAATACCTTATGCTTGAAGGGAAGGTCCCTTTGATCTTGGCTCTCCCTCTTTTCAGAATTATGTACATCTTTTCACCTCAGGTTTTTCTTTGAGACGTCTAATCTCTCCCTCCTTTTCCCTGAGTCTCTAAGATTTAAGAAAAAATACTAAAACCTGATTAATTGTCTGGGATAATGCATTCCTTTCCCGTAAGGGTGCTGAGGAGAACTGATTTCTCTACCTCCCAGCAATCTATCACAATGCATGTTCCCATTTAAGGAGTTTCTTGAGATCCTTTGTTTCATATTAGGGAAGTCTGTTATAAATCTTGGGAAGAGACTATCTATGTAGTCAGTACAGCAGATTCAGTCAGCCAGAATGTATATGTTTTACATGCACAGGCTCCAAAACTGTCTCTTATTCAGCCCATAAAACATTTCAGTCACTGTGTATAATTTAAACATCTTCCAAAAACAGAACTCAGAAGTTTTTTTATTCTATTTGTGATCTTCTAGTGTAGCGTAACAGCCAATTTTACCTCTTCTATCATTATTCTTAATTAAGATTTCTTTCATAAAATTACCATTAAAGTGATATGTTGCAGATGTACAGAAATTATAATTACTTTAAACAAGTTTTGAAGAAGCAGAAGGAGGAAAAAAAAACACCTGAAAAAACCTTCAGTCTTAATTTAGCCATTATGAAGATCTATGAGGATTAAGCACTTATTTCCACACCCACCTGTTTCTCATTTTCTCCTAAAAGCCAACCTATTTTGTTTAATTTAAGCATCCATGGCAGTCTCTGTACCCACTGCTTGTTAAAAATGATTGAAAACTGGTTCACATCCAGTACTAATTGTATTTATTAGACTTTGCTGGTAAGATTAAAATGGTGTAGGTGTCATGTTTACAGATGTATCGCTCTGTTAAGTTTGTCAGATTTCGCACTAAGATGTAATCTCTTTGAAGTTTTTGTCTAATATGTCCTAGCTTGGTTTAGTATGTCATTTTAAATTACAGACATTGTCACAGAATGACAGATAAGGTCCCCTGACCTGTCTCAGATTCAACGGAGAAATATGGTTGTCCCTGGAGAATGCTGTAGACAACTTTAGCACTGTTCCCATACGTAGGATCATCAGCATCAGTTGCGGTGACTTGCACAACAAAGGTACCTGCAATGACAAATTAAAGAAAATAATAATCCACCTTTTTTTTTTTTTTTTTTTTTTCTGATTGAAAACTGGTTCACATCCAGTACTAATTGTATTTATTAGACTTTGCTGGTAAGATTAAAATGGTGTAGGTGTCATGTTTACAGATGTATCGCTCTGTTAAGTTTGTCAGATTTCGCACTAAGATGTAATCTCTTTGAAGTTTTTGTCTAATATGTCCTAGCTTGGTTTAGTATGTCATTTTAAATTACAGACATTGTCACAGAATGACAGATAAGGTCCCCTGACCTGTCTCAGATTCAACGGAGAAATATGGTTGTCCCTGGAGAATGCTGTAGACAACTTTAGCACTGTTCCCATACGTAGGATCATCAGCATCAGTTGCGGTGACTTGCACAACAAAGGTACCTGCAATGACAAATTAAAGAAAATAATAATCCACCTTTTTTTTTTTTTTTTTTTCTTCATGGCCAAGACAGTTTATGATGTAGAAAAGGCATAGTTGAGATTCAGGTCAGACTTAGATATTCTTACTTTGCAGAAGTTTCTCTGTTCATAAAGGATATAGATACAGAACACAAATGATAGTTGGCTTGTTCTCAGTTCATTAAAATACAGAGTTATTGATTGGATATGTAGATTCTTCATCATATTTCTTATGAAGGAATCAGAAATGCACCCTTCCCCAGATATTGAAGGCATTCAGAATTTCAATCTAGGTCAAGAATATACTTTTGCAAATTTACTCTGGCTTGTAAGGTGTTTGACACAGGAATGTAAATCTGGTTTTCATGTGTCTTCTAGGGAAATAAAGGATGTTGAATCCTAGGCAAAGTGTTAACAAACATAAAAAGATGATATTAGGTTTTGGCATTTAAAACAGATTTGTGAATAAAGTATTCACTTCACATATTAAAATGTGAATACTAGATTCTCTCTTCATCAGATGAGGTTTCATCCACGTGACAAGTCCCATGAATGAGGGGAGAGTATGCCCCATAGTCTTTATTTTCATATTGCTTGAGCTTTATTTTAATCTTGTTCTTGATTATGATTAATTAATGCTTTTCTCCCCGGGTATTATTTCAGATTAGAAATGTGCTTCTTGCAGTTTAACTGTCTATCGCTCTCTGACAAAGAAATCAAAATGACCTCCCTAAGAATCAGAGACAAAGAATCAAAACCTGTCAACCTCTCTGGAAGAGATCCGGTCTTAAAATCATATTTCAAGGAAGTTATTGTCTTTTCTTTTATTGATTGATTCTTACAGCTCGATACATTTAGAATCAATAGAAATATTTCAATGGCATTCAGTGGACTTTGGAGCTTTTTTCTTTTGCACGAAAAGAGCCCCAAAGGTCATAGGAAGTTAATGACATATCTCAGAATCAGTGATGAGTTTACTCGGGTGACGGTTTTTGCTCCTGAAGTGTGTACAACCACTTCTGCACCTGTCCTTTTCTATTTTTTTTTACCCTCCTGAACTAAAGAAGGGTGGCTGAAAAAATCTAGGGGTGGTATGGACACAGTGAAGTGACCATGGTTTACCATATTATTACACTGCTACAAAATCATGTTAACAGAGCATATTAAATTCTTCACAGATGTCAACTAAAACAGCTTAGCTCAGCTCACCTTCACTGTGAACTAAACTAGACTGTATTAACTTGCATTTTTTGTGGTACAATAGAGGAAGTGGGTTTCACTCAGCTGTCACCTCTGATTCCAGCAAACTGTTGTCACTATTTTCCTGGAGTTAGATTTTTTTTTTTTTTTAAATAGCTGAGGTGCTTTTACTCCAGACTCAAACAGCAGATGTCTGTATTCAGTGCCTGTTAACTTTGTGACCTTCATTAAGTTCACAGAAAGAACCCAGACTAGACACTGAAATCACTTATTGGTTAGCACCTACCAACATCTGACATTTCGGGAATGCTGGCATTATAAACATCCTTTGTAAACATTGGCTCATTGTCGTTGATATCATGGATCTTAATGATGAACTCGGATTCTGGTTCCACTGGTCTTCCAGTCCTTCTGTTTATAGCCTGGGCACGGAGTATATATACAGGCTTTTCTTCCCTGTCTAGTCTTTTCGTGGCCTGGATGTCACCAGTGTTTTCATTGATAATGAAGAGGTCTCCTGCTCCATCTCCAGAAAGGATGTACTTAAGTGATCCATCGCCTTTATCCTGGTCTGAATGCAGCTGGTGGTGAAATGGGAATAAAAAAAAGAAAGGAAAATAAATAATTGGGACACATTTTTAGAGACTTTAATTGGTATCATGATACGTGCTCTACTCTCAGCCAAAGGCTGTACATTGCTTTTGGGAAATGAGATGATACCACAGTAGGACAGTGAATTGATAGAGCTGTATCTTGATGTTGGAATTGAAATGGTCTGCAATCTTGTAAGAAATTGTCTGAGAAATCCACGAACTGAAGCTGAAGATTGTTTTCCTAAGCAAAGTATACATCAATGAGATCTAAATGCTAGTGGCTCAGGTGGAATCCTAGGGATACGTAGGACAGTGAGATCGTGCAGTGGGAAAACACTAGAATCAGGAATCGCAGTAAGCAAAGAATTAAAAAGTGGCCAGGCCAGCCACCTCTTGAGTTTTAATTCTGGATGCTCTGCTGTTATGCTCCATGGACATTATGCAATATACCACACAGTGCACAAGATAGTAACATACTAAATACATACATGAATAGCACATAAATACATGCATTTGCAGATGTGGCAAACTAAGAGCAGAGGCAGGCAGGCATACTGAACCATCCCGGCACTGGCAATGAAGAGACCAGTTGCCTTATCCAAAGGGACATGGACCAACCTGAAACATGGTGGGGTCAGGGGGAAGAAAAGAGCGATGCTAATTCACATACAAAGCATGAGCTGCCCACTCGTCTTTTTTTGCCATGAGATTTCCACATCTTATGCTGTTTAGCCCATACACAAGGTATGACCAATTAAATTATACTCTTATGGCTGTTCCTTTGATAAAGGCTTATTTATGACTTATTTATCCCTCCTGGCCTTAAAATCAAGGCTAATCAACTACAACTTATTTTGTTGCTACATCAGAGAAAATAAAAATTCAAAGAAATGAAACATTCAAATGACTTCTAAAGCCAGGGCAGAGGTGATGAAATTAATGGGAGAAAAATTAAACTATCAGATAGCAGATTCCTGGGAACTGTTGATTTCATAGAAAAGACATGTTTATGAGTCAGGAGAGCTGGACTTTCTCAACCAGCTCTTTGTATCTCTTTTCCTGCATACAAGTTAGAAAAAAGAATACCTTTTTCCCATGTGGCAAAGTACTTAGCATTGCTGGATGGTATGCTTTGCAGAAGAGAAAGATTTGTAGGCTGAAAGAATATAGAAAATCTTCAGATAGACTGTAGCAATGCCTGGCTATGCCCCTATCATGCTGGAAGAGCAGCCTCCAGCATGACCTTGTGGTCAATGTTCTGAGCTTCCTCCAACGTTCTGCCCAGACCAGCACTATGCTAGCAGCCTACTCACAGCCCATGTGGTGGCACAGTGCTCCACCATGCACACTTATGTCTATGGTCCCTGCAGAAAGCGTGCTCTGTGCAACAAGTCCGCCTTTAAGGGCAAAACTCTTTGTCACCAGACATTCCAAATGTGTCCAGAAATACAAAATACCAGAGCTGTAGCATGTTTAATCATTAGCAGATGTGCTGAGGCACTCTTCTTTTCTTCTTCAGGGAGAAAATGAACATTCCATGCAATTTTGCACAGAGCCCTCTCTTGATAATAAGAATATCAATAAACAGCTTGCATGCAGCATTTTTCAAAAGCAGATTTCAAAACCCTTCACAAAAGTAGTCAATACTATTTTCTCTGTTTTTTGATAAAAAAGCATAGAAACTTGAAGTTTCTCAGAAAGGCTTTCTGAGTTCTGGAACCTGGAATAGAGTTCAGGTCTCCTGAGTCCCATTCAATTGGCCAATACTCTCCGTCACAGGGCCTAGCGGAATCATATGATTTACTAGATATAACCTCAGCCTCTGTTGATTATCCATTAGACCTCCTTGTTAAGAAGTCAGACTAGAAGTCTACTGTGGGAAGTAATTTCAATAGGCTATTTGAATACAATTTTCCTCAGAGGCAACTTGCAACAGAAAAAGCATGAAAAGAACTTTGTCTTCAAAACTGTATTTTTTGTTATTGTTTCTTATCAAAAATTCAACTTCTGTTTTCCTTGAAAGCCTCTTTAACTTTGTCTGTAACATATTGGGACAAAACCAGCCCTTGGTAACAAACTCATTAATTCACATGAATCATGGAATAGTTTTGTTGTGAGACTTGTTACAGGCTGAACTTCCAAACTTATTTTTATCATCATTTTAATTAAATCTGGTTTCAATGAATTAGGAAGAAAAAAAGGTCAAGCTATAACAGGTGTTGGAACCACTGCAAATTGTCTTCTTTACCTAGCCCAGACCATCTAAAGAGCTAAAAATGGAAACTTGTGTGATATTTTTCAAGTCTAGAGTTTATGAAATTTCCATTCCACCTTCACAATTAATCCACCTGTGTAAGATTGACTGTGACTTTGGATATCAAGACAAAGTATATTTCAATGTAATGATTCATCAATGCTGAGAATAAGGCGATCTTCATCCAAGGTTCAATCTCTAGCCTTTCAGCAAAAGCACTAACTTTTGAAAATAAACATTCCCTCTGACAAGATCCTTTCCAACTTCAATACCTTTACTTTTACAACATTCCTAAGACATGACAGAACAAACTAAGTGCTCAGTTGGCCAGGCTGTGGATTATTTATTGTGAGAGCGAGACCTGTCCTATGTACTGGTATATATCACATAGAACTAAGGCTGGCTGAGAGCTTGGTCTTCAAACCAACAGCAAATTTACAGTGTGTCATCATGTGTGGCCTCAAGAACCTGATTCATAAAGGGTCTCAAAAGGTATGATTACAATCTGTTTTATTTCAGTAAACTAGGATAGTTCTCTAACTGCTTGCCATCAGAGTTTTTGTGGGATAGGCGTATATCAAAACATCAGCATCAGCTGCTTAGTAGCTGGGCCAAAATAGTTTGGGTTTTGTTCCCTTCCTTTCAGAAAAAAATATTAATTGGTTTTATATATTAGAAAAAACAAGCAGTTCTACAGAAAAGTTTCTCATAGATGATAAATTTGTAACATTCACTTGTGAGGAAAAATCCCAATTTATTATTTTAGATTATGTTACCTGTCCTTGACTGTTTGCTTGGTAGAAAAGTTTTTATCTGGGCAAGGACAATCATCTGTTTTATTTTTTCTTAAGTGTCAGTTTATCTTGGAAGCAATATTTTGTGTCTGTGACCTATATGATGGGGAAAATTGCTACTGTAACCAGATTTAAAAAAATAAATTGGGAATAAAATTAGAGGAAAAAAAAATAGTGCAAGTTGAGGCCAAAAGAAGGGCCTGGAGGTGAGATGCACTTAAAAATACAGTTGATGGTTTTGTATATAAAACTTAACACCGTTCTTAGGTTATGAGGATGAAATGAGTAGTAGTAACAACCTCTCCTTTCCTTTTAAGTTGAAGTTATTTTTCACTATCCAGACACCTCATTGCAAAGAAAAGTTTGCTGTGATGAGGTATGTGCATAAAACACTGCAAATGCTTTTAGCAGAACTGATCCCAGCCAATGTAAGATATTATAGCTTCACTCTCTGTGATAACCAATGTTGCAAAAGACTGTCCATTATCCTCTACATAAAGCTGCTCAGATAAATGGGCCATGGCAGATAGTCATGGGATAGAATAAAATGTCACGGGACACAGTACTAATGTCATCTGGGCTGTATCATATTGCCATTCCTCAAGACCAAGTAACTTCAACCAAAGGTTTTCAGGATTCCATGTAAAGGTAGATTTTTTTTATTTCCGTAGGAACTCGAGGCATTCATTTCAATTGGTGACTGAACTGAGCAATACCCCTAAGGTAAGCACGATTGTGAAGAAGTAAGTCTATGCAATAAAAAGTAAATGCATCAGCAATTGCACTGTATTAATATTACAGTAAATTGATTTATTCAGAATCTAATCTGGACACTTTTGTGAAATTGTCCATCAATCACTGGCTAAGGCTGAGAATGAATGACAAACTGAAGATTTTACTATGCCCTAGGCATACTTTTACTCATTTTACTTTAATACCACTGTTAAGTGAACCATCTGGTCTGCTTTTAATGACTTACAGTCAGATAAAAACTGTTCAGGCTCTGTCTTTCTTCTGCCACCCTCCAAATGTCCTGGCCCAAAACATTCAAATACAGCTGCCTGAAAACAGGGAAGGCTTCCTGCCTCCAGCTAAAGATGTACGCAGGACTGCAGCACTAGCCACCTGTATTTGACATTCTGCTTGTTGTCACATACATAATTACTTTGAAAAGAGAGTTGTTGTTTTTATTTTCAAATTAGTCACAGTTTGGAGCAGCCTCCTCTGGCAGAGCCCTCTGAAAGTGCCAAGCTTCAGCACAATGAAAAGGAAAACGCACAGGAAAGCCCTGCTCAAAGTATTCATACCATAAGCTTTCGTTCTTATTTTTATTTTATTTCCAAAGTGAATATATTTACAGCACTAGTGTTCATCTCCAGTAGATAGCTTCACTCTAAACAATGCTCCAGGACAATTTTACCAGGGTTTTAAACATTGAGTTGGACCCATGCTACACACACAGGAATTACTTCAGCAAAGCATGTGGGAAGAATTTAAGGGAGTCTTTCATGTGCTTTTGTGGTAAGACTATAAACTGATTCGGCATGAAAACAGCAGATCCAATTGGCATTAAGTTGCCCAATTCATTAAGGTCCGTCTCTGGTATTACAAAGTCGTGAGCTATACTCCACAACGTTGGCAGCACTTCCAAAAGCAGCGTTAGTGTGTTTGAACTGAGGTGAGAGGTGGCGGCTCTCTGAGGCGGCGATGGCAGGGCCCGGCAGCCATGGCCCTTCCCACCACTCCAGCCAGGAGCAGGCCAGCGGGAGGCACAGGGACAGCCCCAGCCCTGGGCACCTCCCTGGGGACAGGGACAGGCTGGGGACGGGGACAGGACGTGGGCCCACAGCTGGGCCTGGATCAGCAGGGCCCATGACCAGGCCAGGCAGGGCTGCGGGGAGCTGGAGATCGGCCCTGCTGTGGTGGTGTTGCTGGGGCAG